TGGGGAGAAATATGAGTGTTATGGGTAAGTGACAGGGTACCCAACCCAGCATTGGTTAGGAAAGGCTCAGTGCAGAAACTGACATCCAAGACAAGACTTAAAGAACAGCAGGAGCTAGAGGGTGGGGTGGGTTGGGTTGTGGGTGTGTGTGAGGCAGGAGTGGATGGTGTGGGGAAAGATGACATTCTAGGCAGAGGGAATACCATCTGCCAAGTCCCAGAAGAACAGCAACTGGGGAACTATATGGCTGGAATTTTAAGCATGATTTTAAATGGAAGAGTGTTAGGACAGGTTAGGAAAAGCCCTGTGTCTGCAGAATGGAGAAATACATTGGAGAGGGGCAAGATGGAGGTGGGAGATCCCGTGCTGCTGAGTCTACAAATATTCAGATTATATCGTGAATCAGGGAAGGAAACAAAAAGAGGATGTAAGAGAGTATTCCTTTCAATTCTGCTTGGAGAAGTCAAACTGAGGTTTCCTAGAAGATGCGACAGAGCTAGGTCCCACAGGATAGAAAGGAATATACAGTAGCATCTGGTTACCATTGTAACAAGTGTGATCTTCAGATTAAACTATAACTCTGAATTCTGAAAATAAGGTAGGGTAAATATGTTTAAAAGATTCTTAAAAAGTTTGGGGCGCCTGGGTGGCTCAGTTGGTTAAGCATCTGCCTTTAGCTCAGGTCATGATCTCAGGGTTCTGGGATCGAGCCCCGAGTCAGGCTCCCTGCTCAGCAGGGAGTCTGCTTTTCCCTCTCCCTCTGCTGCTGCCCCTTCTTGGACTCTCTCTCTCTTACTATCTCTCTCTCAAATAAGTAAATAAGTAACCTTAAAATAAAAAAAAAAAGATTCTTAAAAAGTTCTCATTTAAACCTACTTTTTTTTAGTAAAACTATGCCTTCAGTGTTAATGCCTGAGAAGGCCTTTTCATCAGCCTTCTTTACATTTTCATATAATTTCCCTGACAGATCCAGAATCAAAACTCCTGTACATATGTCATGCTCATTCTAAAATCTGTAACTCCAGCTCAGACCACTCTCATGGTCTTCATATCCATCTATCCACCTTCACATTAGGATTTCCACCCAGGGTCCCCCAAACACCTCAAAGTTCACAGTTCCTCTCTATTTAATCCTTTGCTATATTCTTATATTCTAGAAAAGCTAATATATAGCAGGTCAAAAAAATGTTAGTCTGTTAGGGACCATTTGGATATCCTCTACTCTGAAATGCCTGTTCAAGTTTGGTGCCAATTGTTCTACCATGTAATCTGTTAGTTCCTTCATGGCCTTTTTAAGTATTCTATTAGTGTTAATTTAATTGGGTGTGTCTTCCACCACCAGATCAGGGAGGTATTCTGTCTCTTTCTTCTGTGTAATCTGACCTCAAGCACAATACTGACATAAAGTGTGTCAAAATCTCTAAGAACAAAATATTCATAAAATAATGCTAATAAAAATTCAAAATAAATGCCAGATTATGAAATGTGAAGAGTATTCTTAAAACTGGGAGAAGAAAAGTAGGCAGAAAGTTGGCTTGTTCAGAAGGACTATAATAAGTTCACATAACACAGAATCCAGAAAAGTACATTTATAATCACATGTACAAAAGACCATTTCTTAAAATTACATGATTATCAAAAGCAACAATGTCATTTGGCTTTCAGGAAATTATTTTCAGGCTATATTTTATAATTAACACCTATAAAATATTTTAAATTGAGTTTTACATAGTAAGTTCTTTTTCAACACTATCCCTATATATAAATTTATACCCTGCAAAATAGAATGCACTTCACCATAGCAACAGTTCTATATCAACTCCTACTCAAGTTAGAAAAAGCATATGTAAAAGAAATGAATATTCTGGAATATTCTGAAGCGCCTACTGGAAAAAAATTACTCCATTTATTTTGTAAAAATTTAAATATAAAAGTTTAATGTTTCCTTAAAACATTCTTATAATTAGGCAAAAGGCTATTTAAGGTTCTCAAATCTTGCTTTATTAAATAGTATAATACATTTTTAAAAGAAAGCAAAAGAGGAAAAAAAATAATGAAAAAGCACAGAAAAAAAACCAATATCAAGGATAACATACTTGGGATCGAGTTGGTGGGCATGCTGGGGGATGGGAACAGTAACAGGAAATAATGTTTAAGTGATTTATAAGTAAAATATAAACCAAGTTATTAAATGTTACAACTATATTACTTTCTCAAGAAAAGCTATACCCCACTGGTCTTATGAGAACTGAAAAAGAAATTCTTATATTCACATAGTCTTCTTTTAAAAGTCAATAAAGCATCAGGAAGTGTTAACTTGGCTTGATAAATTAAGTCAATTACAAATTCCTACAAATTCCTTAATGAAAATGAGCAAGTTTATAGACTTTGGGGATCAGGTTATATACTACCAACAAACCTAGCTGCATCAAAATGTAATATTAAACTAAACATAACTGAAAGCATTTCCTTTCACTCACCACACTTGTGGCCAAATTCACCATGTGCACACTGCTGTCATCCTTGCTCACAGCCCAAGAGGGAGTACTCTGTTATGTTCTCAACTCCCTTGCTGTTCTGGGCTTCCTTTCTCTGACCTAATTTCTAGCTGCTGCACTACATCCCAATTCTCCCACTGACCTCTGAAAATTCCCAAATCCTTCTGTGTTTCTAATATCCTTGCTTAACATTTCCTCCGAACAGGCTTAAACTGAAACCTGGCTATTGTTCACTTCATTTGGAGGCTGAGCTTTCTGCCACATCCTACCACACATATCCCAGAGATCGGAGGTTCTTTCTTACGTGTTCTTATGTGTTTCTTTAGAACCTGACCACGCCTTCTGCTTGTCCTCACTTCAGGCATCGACAAACTTCCAGGTCACCAGTCTCCATCCCTTGGGATCTCTGACACCTAGAACACCTTCAGCTTCCCCCACAAATGCTGCTGTTCTCTTAGATGACTTCAACATTTATGTAGGTGACTTTTTCCCAGACTCTGTTCCTTGATCTCTTCATCTCCAAAGACCTTCTCCACTTCTGCTACTCCTCTTCCATGGCCATACCTAGGACTTGCTCTCTCCCAGAAGAGCACTACCTCCAAAATCCTAAAGTCAGGCACTTCATTCACTGATACAACAACCTCTCTCACTTGACTCCTCCCTACATATTAATTCTCTGATCTCACCACCAGATTATTTCACTTGATGTCGACAAAGACGCTCTCACCTTAACCAAACTCCAGTCAGGCTCCTCCTGAGCCCTCTTCTACACCAGGCTTCAACCTTGGCCCATAAAAACCCACACTTTCAACATAAATGATTTTGTTTACTCCTCCCACTAAGACACCAGAACCAACACTAGCATAGTTTCTAACAGTTCATGGCCATGTTCTTAGGGTGATTCCAATCGCATTTTAAGTTCCTACCTGAAAAAGTACAAGACTGGCAGGAAAATTTACAGCTTGTTCCAGCCAAAACCTGATGACAGGCAGAGAGGCCCCTGAACCTCCTCTTAGAGCAATTACTTCAGAAAGCTTACAGTTATAAATCCTTTCTCTACCCCTTTGAGGTGCAACTCTTCCACCACTTAGAAGAGGTGAGTCATCTCTTTAAAATGCAAACATTCTAGAAGATAGCTCTCCCTTTCTTTCTACTCCCTATATGAGGGCATAAGCTCCAGATGCCAGTCAGTAAACCCAGAAGGGTTTCACATTAACTAATCCCCTTTCCTGCTTATCATTTCTACTCCCTTGAATCTGCAAGATACCCCTCCACCTCCCACCCCATCCCTCCTTCCTAATCCCTCATTCTCCCTTTAAAACACCCAGTCACCTCTGCACAAACTGAAGTTGAGTTCCGTTCACACCAGACTCTTTTCTCTATAAAATCTACGCTTGCACCACTTCAATTAGTGTATGCTTTGTCTTTGACACTATAATTCTATGTAACACAAACACACACACACAGAGGCACAGGCACATACACACACACTCCATCCCACAGGTTTGCTTTGTTCCCAGCCTCAAACATTCTGTTGCTGGTATTCTCAATCCCTTAGGGAAAAAAAATCAAAATTCCTTAACATGGCATACGGTCAAATTGGCCTCTTATTTCTGAACCCCTCTTTCTCTACACTATACGCTCCACACCACTCAACATCTCTCACTTCCCTGAATTCACCCTGCTCTGCCTCACTCCCAGCCTCTGCCATGTTGGTTCCTTGACCTGGTATACTCCTCTCCACTTCCCTGGCCTATACTGCCTCCCTCTTCAATTAGTAGCTCATCGCCAGGAAACCTTCCTCGATGCTCCCTCTACACTAAGTTAGGTTGACCTGCTACATGCTCCCAGGACAATGTGGTTTCGTATATCACATATTGTTAACAGCCTGGCTACCTTCTTGCTTGATCACAGCACCCTTAAGGCAGGGAATAGTTAGTTCTGTCTTGCTTACCACTCTCTGTCCTAATAGTTGCTTCACTACCTGAAACTAAATAGGAATACAGTAAGTATGTGTTAAATGAATAAATCTTTAGGATCATTAACATTCCGTGACAGAATGCTAGCCCATATGACAAAGTTCTCATCACTGAAATCAGATGAAGCATCTCCAATTCTTTTGCCGAACATCTTAAAATATTGAAAGACAGGACAAAGCATATGATGTTAAACACTAATAGAAATTTGCAAAAATTATGGTATGATTCCACCCTATTAGCATATTTGGGCATTTATAAATGAAAAATATTTATAGGGGTTACCTAGGATAACTAATTAAGACTAACCCTTTCATTGCTACATCTTTCCATTTATAGATCATCTTCCATTGGAAATGACACCAACTCCATACTTGGTGGTGAATATAAAACTACAGCCCGAGATTACTACATTTAACGCCAAAGTTAAAACCTGAGTAAATTATAAAAATAATTATTTTGTATTTGAAAGTTTGGATCAGTGTTACCATCTTTTACTTATTTACTGGCATCATGTGTTACTTACTGATAAATTTGTACTGTTGGGAACATACTGATCCTGTGCTCCAAGCAACATGTCAATCACAGGGTGTCGGCCATTTTTAATCAAGATTTTCCTTCCCTCTTGTAGAGTTGGTCTGTGAAAAGAAGCATATTCCAATTTACTAGGCATGAAAACTGCCTTTAAAAAATCTCTAAGTTCTAGCATAAAAGATAGACTTTAAGAACACACCCCCAGAATAAGGCTTTGAGTACAAAAGTTAAATTTTAACTATAAAATAAGAATTGGGAGGACATTATAATAATAGTGCTTGAAGCACAAACTTTAGCAGAGTCTTACAATAGCTCCACTGCTGAAGTCTACTTTACAAGATCTTTTTTTTTTCTACTATTCTCTAAGATCAATATTTTCATTACTAAAAGTTACAGTTCAAATTATTGCCATTTAAATCATTTTCAGTTACTTGCATAATAAAGGAAATCATTGAAAATTATTTCCAGATTCAATTATTACATTAGTAGAAATTATATTATGTGTTGCACTTGAAGACCTAAAATTTTCATATTGTTTAACGGAAACATCTTCCTATGGTCTTTGGTATCTCACTTTTCTTGATACAAAAATTATTTTTTTTTGCCTTGCTGGTTTTCCTTTTAAAGCTTTTATATTCTCTGTTTTTATCTATAGCTTTATCTATTTATCAAAGCCCCTGTGAGCACTGCTCTCCTTTTATTCTCCTCCCCAGAGGTTACCACTGAGATCAGTGTGGTGTCTACCCTTCCCAACTTTCTTCTCTGCATTTAGGTTTTTACACACTCACTGCGCTGGTTTGTGATTTCATTAAAAAAACAGCAAAACAAATCAGGATCATACTATAATGTGTTATTCTATAACTACATTTTCCCCCTTAATACTCAATACACATTAAAAGAAATAGGTTTCACAATTTACCAATGGACCCTTTTATTTTTCTTAATACTTTCAAGTCATTTTACAAATAATTTGCAGAATTGGCAATAAAGGGGTAGTAAAAACAAAACAAAACTTCATGACAAATTTTAGTAAGAACTTAAACAGAGCAAATCTCAAATTTTTGTTCCACATTTTCCTGGTCTTAAAGGCATATATACTTGGAATGGGCAACACACTCTCAATGTAATTAACTGCTCATCAGCTATCATGCATGCACCTGGACCACAGTCATTCATAAATACTAATTCTAGATTTCAATACATTTCTAAAATGTTCTAGCTTATCATATTTTCTGGTTCTTCTCCCACTTGCATGGACAAAAATGCAATACTTGAAATTCTGAAATTTTCGAAAGCTTATCATTATGTTGAGGAGAGGACAGCGATCTTCTTCGCTCCACAATTGCAAAACATTTTCAGTTTTATATTTATAAATACCAAATTAGAATAGTTGATCAAATCAATATTTTTATTTCACATCATCTATTTTCTTTCAATCTCCTCCCTTCAGAACCTGTGCACCTACAAACAGTATCAAGTAAACTTTAGTGCACAAACATCGTAAAGGCAAAAGAAACCACTACATATCCTTTTAGCACAACAGGATGGTTCAGGTTCTTGTCACCAAATACTGCATGATGTGTGCTGCCTATGGAATAACTAACTGGAGAAGAACACATTTCATTTTGTCCTTGGAAATACATTATTCGCACACTGATTCTTGAGTTTGGGAAAATTCATCTAGGATACTATCACCTGAACACTTATGATCTGAGATTTTGTTTATACAAGAAATTTCATCATCAGTAGTAGTATCTAGAGCACTGCTATCTTTCTCTTCACATTCGTCTTTTGATTAGTCTGATAATTGTGAAATGTCTTCTGTCACTTTTTTCCTCTTTGCTATTATGGGTGAAAAATTTAAAAATTCAGACTTCTCAACTATGCTCAGTGAAAGTCAGAAACAATAGTTACAATGTGTGAAAGTTAATCATTACATTAATAGAAATTAATTATAACTATAACAGTTATAATAACTGTTGTACTCAGACTCCAACAGTGCTATTTCCAGTCTTTTATAACTTCCTGAAGGACGATGCAGCACTTTGGGCAATACAATTAAAACAATGAAGGATGGTGTGGTAGTGATTTTTATCTTACCTTTGCATCATCACCCTCTAGTTTTCTTATATTTAGACTTTTTAGTAGAAATAATCGATAAACAATAATAAACTAATTCTTAGGATGATGAAATAGCAAGATGTTCCAGATATAGAAAAGATAAAAATCATTAAAGATCCCAAAGTGCATCTTAGATTTATAAAAGGGTCCAGTGGACCCATATGGTAAATGCAAGACAGAATTTTATTCTCCTTTTAAAAAAAACATGAATTTTCTCTTTGTTCTTTAAAAGACCTTTAAAAAACTGAAAAACTAAAATTAGGTCCAAGGGACCCTGATGGTATGCTATACTGAAGACTCAGGATCATTTCTTGTCATATCTTCAGCATTCTTTTGAAGCTGCTACATAGATAAGTCAGTTGTTCTCCACTGTCCAACATTTAGACTGTGTCTAGATTTTCACTGTTATAAACAATACCGTAATCAACAATCTTACATATATGTCCATGTGCATAGGGACAAATGTTTCTTAAGCCAGAGTAAATTCCTGAAGTGTACTTTCTAAGTCATAGGGTATACATACTTTTTATTTTAACACATAGTAATATTGTATCAGTTTATCTTCCCACCAGCAGGATATGAAAGTTGACTTGTTTTTTCATACCTTCACCTAAAGTAGGTATTATCAAATTTTCTAATTTCTGACAATGTGTTGGGTGAAGTGTTCTCAAATCATGTTAACTTGCATTCATTGATAACTAAGTGCTTTGACTCAGAACTTTTCACATATAAGCACATTTCTGACCTTATTCATCAGGCTAAGAAATACTACTTCCCTAAATACTTAAATCCTTTTCCTTAAATATATCTGGTTACAAAACCCCAAGTATGTACACTCACATTTCTCAAAGAAAATAACTAAAGTATCTTCTGAATAATTTAAAATTATCCATTGGAAAGAGACTTTTAAAATGACAGGAAAAGGACATTTTTTTGGATTTCAAAGTTTAATTCTAAAGACAGGATTTTTATCTAGGTGCATTATAAATTTACTATAAAAAGTGAAAGCATCTGCAAGTAATATCAGTTTTAAAATAAAATCCTAGGTGTTCTGCCAAGTGAGATCAATAGATCATTATTCATGACACTGATACAATTTCCCAGGAAGGTTTTCACTTTAGAATAAAATTGAGTGATTTGTTCTGCTCTAAAATCTACACTGACTTACTCTGTTGCTATCAAAATTATATAATGACAAAACACTTCCTGGTGGAATGAGAAGCAAATCATAATTTGGAGAGATGAGATGATGCACAAGATTAGGATAGTTATAGCAAAAAGGATACGAAAATCATGTTGATGATATGGCATTTAAGAAGAGCTGAGGAAATTTAGATGCTGCCTGGAAAGAATGAAACATTAAACTTGAACAAATTTATTTTATATTTTTGAAATAGCATCTTTCTCCTTCAAATGCCTCAGGGAAACAGAACATAATTAGTAAAACAATATAACATCCAGAATAAAAAATGGATAGAAAGACTTAGAACAAGAACTTCTGTCTCAAGGTTAGGCTATAGTGAATAAAATGTCCTAAGAACATTTAGGAAGAAAAGACTGCAATTACGCATCCAATCAATCAATTTGAACTAAGTGCAATAGCTCAAATGCACTAAAATCTTTAAACAAGCTGGAAATCTAAGGGAAAAAAAGGTATAAGTTTCAGATGCTTAAATACTAGCTTAATATGCATTTTAGTTAAAAGTTTCCTATTTCATGGCTATCTACACTCTATTTTATTTCTGCTAAAAAAAAAAAGAGAGAGAGAGAAGTGATTATATTCCTTGAACTTTATAGCATGATTTTTCATTTAAAAATATTCAGGTGGATTTTTCTTAACATATAGTATCCAATTTCGAAAGTATTTAGCATGTGAAATATTTCCTGAAGTTGTCTTCATGAAAGAATGTATCAGTTGGAACAATCCTACTGAGGACAAATAGGAAAGTAAGTAAAGTATAGAAAACAGTTACCTGATGGTACCTGATAACTAACAAGAAAGCAAGGAATTAGCTGGCTAGGACCTGGGGCAGGACAGAGACCCAGGGAGTGTCTCTAAGGGATCCCTAAGGGAACCACTAAGGGAGAGCACTATGGGAACCACTAAGGGAGAGCACTATGAACAGCTTGGCTCTGGACTGAGACACCAATGGGCTGCACCCCAGGCAGAGAAACACATTTGAAGTAATAATGGCAGCCTTTGAATCCTTGAGTCACCTCAAGACCTGATACGGATTAAGTGATGCCAGATTATTATCAGTGTCTTAAGATGCCTGGTAGAAGCAAATGTGAATCTTTCAGGTGAAATATAATATCAAATTATTTCTATAATGATTCTGCAAATACAATGCCCATAATGTAATCAAAACAACCAGGAATTCAAAAAGATCTAAGAATGGAAATGAACAAAAACAACAATCAATAGAAACAGACCCACAAGAACTCCAGATATTTGAATTATGAGACACAGACTTTAAGATAACGATGCTTACCATGTTCAAAGAGATAAGATTGAGAACTGGCAGAGAACTAAAAATGATTTTTAAAGAATAAATTATGGGTATGAAAGATTCTAACAATCCTTAAGTTTAGATATTTCTATTAAAGACAAATAATTTTTGGGCGCCTGGGTGGCTCAGTTGGTTAAGCGACTGCCTTCGGCTCAGGTCATGATCCTGGAGTCCCGGGATCGAGTCCTGCATTGGGCTCCCTGCTCAGCAGGGAGTCTGCTTCTCCCTCTGATCCTCCTCTCTCTCGTGCTCTCTATCTCTCTCTCTCTCAAATAAATAAATAAAATCTTAAAAAAAAAGACAAATAATTTTTAAAATACTTAATTCTTTTTTTTACTTAATTCTTTCTGATTTTTGAGTAAATATCTTTGAATAATATTATCTGCTATTTACTAAGTTCTTATCTGTCTGGTTCTGCTTAGAAGTTTAATATAGCTTTATCTCATTTAATTTGTACAAGAACTCTGAGAGGTAGATACTCTTGTTAATGCAGAAACTGAGGATCAGAGAGGTTAAGTAACTTAAGGTCAGCTGCCAAATAACCAAGCCTAGCCTGTCTGATCCAAAGTCTACACTCCGAAGGATATGCCTAAAAAACAGTTCAAATTTTACTTGCAAATCAAGGGGTCTCTTAGTAAATGTACTGGAAAATGCCCAAATAAGAAGTCCCAAAATGAAAAATTTAGGACCAAACTAGAATATTGTAGATACTCAAAATGTCTGTTAAATCTCTGATGAGTCTACAAATTAATCATAGTTTTATAGTGACGTAATAAGGGATGCATTTTCTCTCCTCAGAGATTTTGCCAAAACTAGCTCTCAATAAAGAATACCTACAATTGTAAGATTTATCCCATTTACTAATTCATAACTTTACTTCTTGCAATTTTATATATGAATACTTGAAATTTAAACAAGAGTACACAGCTAATTAGTGACAGAGGATGGGCTAGAACCAGACCTTCTGATATCAAAGCTAGATTCTGGTTATTATAATGCCCTGAAAATTATGTATTACTTTAAATTACATATTATGTGTAATATATATGTATGTTTAGGCTTACAAATAGGTATATATGCACATACAGATATGAAAACTTAAATCTGATGTAATATAAACCACAAGCCCACAGACATGGTTCTTCTGTTCTTACTAGCTGCTGCAGCAGCAAATGGCAAAAGGCCACTTGAAGAAGTGCAGGAAGAAAGAAACCAGGCATCAGTATTTTTCAATGGAAAGAGCTTTGTATGAAAACATCAAGAGCAGACTGTAGCTGATCCTCTGCTTAATTCACAAATCCATTAGGAAAAATTAGCTTCACAAACCTTGGGCACCAAGAAAGAAGTCCTACTAAGATCACAGTACATAAGGAAGAAATCAAGTCAACGGAAGATAGACTCTTATTCTCCCAGAACTAGATTCAACTAGAGTTCATTTACAGATCTCATTTTCATGAATGATAAATTGCACAAAATTTTCAAAGCCCTGATGTGAAAAGAAACTGAGTAACAATAAAAATGCAAAGAGCCTATTTTATTTTTTTATTTATTTGACAGAGAGAGACACAGTGAGAGAGGGAACACAAGCAGAAGGAGTGGGGGGAGGGAGAAGCAAGCAGGCTTCCCGCCAAGCAGGGAGCCCGATGTGGGGCTCCATCCCAGGACCCTGGGACCATGACCTGAGCCGAAGGCAGACACTTAACGACTGAGCCACCCAGGCGCCCATAAAGAGCCTATTTTAAACAAAACCGTTGTGCACAGTATAGTAGATCACTCCATACATAAATGGGTAGCAAAACAAAATGAAACAAAACAGCAAAACTAAGTACATTTTTATCTAAAACTGGGGTAGCCAATTCCTGCAACTCTTCTCCAATAAATAAATAAATGCTTTACAATAAACTATTTTTTTAACATCCACTATGGGTATTATGCTAGTTATAAAGAGAACATTTAAATATTAAAAAAAAAATATTCGGCACAAACTAGAGAGAACATGAAAGAAGTATAAACAGCAGAACATAACCTCTCAAACATAACAAACTCTGTATACCAAAGCACTGATAGGCAGTATCACTTCCATGTTTTCTTTTTAGACCTCATAATAAGCCAGTGAGTTAAATATTCCCTTAAATTTCCTTAAATATATGAAAAAATAGGCTTTGCGCTACAGAGTGAATGTTTTGTGTCCTCTCTCAAATTCATATGAAACCTAATGTGATGGTATTGGGGGTAAGGCCCTTGGAAGGTGATTAGTTCATAAGGGCAGAGCCCTCGTGAATGGGCTAGTGGTTTTATAAAAGAGCCCACAGAGAGCCAGACCCCAATTGGGCAAAGCTCTCCAGACCCACACGGCCACCAGTACAAAATTCCAGCCTGGGAGAGCCACAGGGCATCAGCATCAGCAGATGTGGGACTACCAGAAAGCAGACCAGGCACAGAACATCAGCAGACCAGGCACAGGGCATCAGCAGACATGGGACTACCAGAAAGAACCACCTCAGGGGCGGGGCCCAGGCACAGGACCACCAAAGGAGCAATATAGCCTAGAGCTCTGGGGGCCCAACCTTGGCCCCGCAAAGCTACAGGAACAGGACTGCTGCCCCAGTGGGTCTGGAAGGTGGGAATCCCCACCCAGTGGGCCTGGAAAGCAGAGAAATGAGCCAAAGATTTGGCTTAAGCCTAAGGTTTTGGACTTAATGAAGAGTAATTTGATAGCAATAGAGACACTGTCTCGAAATGGATCACACATTCAGTCTCATCCATATCTGATTTAGTTGGCATTTATATGAGACTTATAAAGTGAAATATATTACAAAGTGTTCAAGTCAAAGCTAACAAATGAAAGGATTACGGCTTTAAAAAAATGTCACCCACATAAACTTAAAAATTGAAATATATAACATTCACCTCTAGAGTTATTGTGAACATCTGCTTTCACTGTACTCAAAGACAGAGCAAGCAAGAAAGGAATTCGTTAATTTTAACTGACTGAGCCACTCAGGCTTCCCCTAGGAATTTGTTAATTTTAAATCAAGCTATGTGTGTATGACATTCAGCTTTACCAAGAATCCAACATATCTGCATATTTTAATATTTTATAATAAAAATACTAAAAGTAATGGGATAATGCCATCTGATCTAAAGCACTGAAAAGGAGGGGGGAGTTAAAAAATACATTACCTGCAGTAATCTCCTTGCTTAGCGACCTTGGCTAGGGAGAAAATGCAGTCAACAGTTGCTAGGTGATGTACTGCTTTACACAAGGAGTGATAATGTTCACTGAAATTCCTACAGAAGCAACAACAAAAAGGTGAACACATTGATTTCTTAGATCTGTAAAAGCTGCAAAATATGTGATCGCTTTATTAGCTAAGATGAGCATAAAATAACCAGAAATACCTAACAGTTAAGAAACATGGAAATTACTCTGGACGACTTCTCAGTTTAATATAACTTGATTACTGAGGCTTCTTTTATTTCATGTGGATAGAATTACATATATTTAAAATAGCTTCTATATAAAGATGTCTACTATTAATACTGTATTGCACATTTCATTTGACCATGACACGTCAACTTTAACATAGTTAACACAAATAATAGTGATCATTTTCATTCAGCTTAAGTTAACATGAACTACCCAGATGGGTCAGCTTGTCTTTGTGCTTCTCCTTCATAGCATCATCCAAACTAGGATTAATAGTTTCAGTATCTTTCTCTCACACTGAACTGGAAGGTTCTCAATGGTAGGGTCCATGTTCATCTGATTTTCCTATCATTATTAGCTCTAACATCTAGCCCATAACTTCGATATGCAGTAGACATTGTAATAAATTTCATTAAAAGCAAGCAAATAAAGTACTTTTTTTCAGTGATCTTCAGTTATCTTATTAATAATACACATATAAATTAAATTTTAGATTAATTTTAAAAAGATAATGATCAGTGCCTCAAATCTTTGGCTAAGTAAATCGCTTGTGATCTAAAGGCTTAAAAGACTTTTATTGAAAGACTTATTCAGAAAAAATATAGGAATGTAGGCAAGTGCTTTCCTTTTTTTATTATTTAAATTGTTCCATTATTTCCTTTATTTTTTAGATTTATTTATTTTAGAGAGCATGAGACCACAAGCAGAAGGGGCAAGGAGAGACAGAATCTCAAGCAGACTCCCCGCTGATCACGGAGCCTGACACAGATCTCATGACCCTGAGATCATGCCTGAGCCGAAACCAACAGACACCCAACCAACTGTGCCACCCAGGAGCCCCAAATTATTCCATTATTTCATATCACAGGTATCCCTTACATCCTTTCAAAGAAGATTCCCACCAAAATAGAATATTAGGCTGAATACTTCTCTTAAAAATGATTTCTCTCTGGGCGCCTGGGTGGCTCAGTTGTTAAGCATCTGCCTTCAGCTCAGGTCATGATCCCAGGGTCCTGGGATTGAGTCCCGCATCGGGCTTCCTGCTTGGCAGGAAGCCTGCTTCTCCCTCTCCCACTCCCCCTGCTGTGTTCCTGCTCTCGCTATCTCTCTCTCTGTCAAATAAATAAATAAAATCTTAAAAAAAAAAAAATGATTTCTCTGTTGTATTATGGGTTTCAGAAACTTTGAGATTTAATCTGCTTCTTAAATTCAAAAGTTTTAGAATGCTTCCTAGCTTGAAAAGGATATCCAGACTAAGCTATTATGTGATCAGTTATTCCTATATTATCACTATCTTGATTTTTTAGAATCTGTAATATGATTTTTCTAGTAATATTATAATAAGGTATTCCATGCAAATGACTTTTCCAGATAACAGAAGCAACATTTTAAGTACTTATTTTCATTTTTGTGTTAACGTTATGAATTGGAAAATATATTTATAGTATATTTTATACCTTTTTATCTGAATAGATAGAACATAATAAATATAATTTACTTATTTCTCACTGAATTAAGGTTCATCAAAACAAGCAAGAATCCCACTAACAGTGGTAAGAGTCTATGCAAAATCCCAAACACAAAGGAGACTGGCATTAGACAGACAATGCTCAGGTGCCACCTTAAAAATGACTCACTCCATTTTGAAGATACCACATGCTACATGGACCTAACACTTCTGAGTGACTGCCCAGTGATGATGCCTTGTCATTCCTGGTCTGACTTCAATTTTAGATCTGAACACTGGTTTATCTGTTGGACTGTGTTGCGTTCTGTCCCTGTTCTAATTACTGACCCATCTGGTCCTTCCGATCCTGGCACTCTGTTTTCCCAGAGAGTGGCCAAATTTGATGTCTCTCCTCTTGCCTCTCTGGAATATGAGTATCAAAGTATCTTTGGCACTAAATAACTCTCATTTTTTCTTCAGTCTCACTCCCTGCTTCTCAGCTCTTGTTCAGGCCACCAAGACCCTAATTAATTTGCTACTATCTAGGAGCCTTAGGTTGAGGGTAACTGTCCCTCATGATATTCTAGTGTCTGGGATTGAAATGAGTGACACAGCTCTCAGTGGGTACCATTTTGGTTAAAAAAATAAGAAAAAAGAAAAGGCAGAGAGAGATAAGGTAATTATTTTGATATAGACAATAATGTTCTTTCTCATGTCAATTATATAAACAAGATGTGTGAATAAAATGAAACACTATCATAAACCTTTAACATCATCATCATCATAACCTAGGAAGTCTTGTTTGACTTCTTGATCTTTGTCCATTTGCTACACTTTCCCAAATTTCAAAAAGATTATCCATACCTAGAAAAATAACAAGCTAAAAAATGGGCAATTCAAATAACAATCTGATAAGACTGGGTTTATATCACAACAGGCAACTTTATCACTAAGACACCAACCAACTTAAAGATGAAGCCGAAGTACTATGATTTAATCTCTGGTCAAAAGATATTGCCACATCCATAGGAAAAATAAAGATTAAGGTACTTGGGTTCTAAAGCTGTTAGGACAGTCTACCATCAGATGTTGCCCAATGAAAGGAAAATATTTTATTTTTTATTTGCAAATTTATTTCTAAAATATTTAACTTACTGCACGAGAGACATTATAATTCAATTTTTAAAAAATCTCCAATTGAGAAGATTATTCAACATCCACAGCCCATCTTCTAGGAATACAGATGAAGAGACACATTTTTTCAAAGAAAATTCCATTCAGAGTTTCTTACAGCCTTGATTTCTTGCAATATTTTGATCAAAAGTAGTATGACTAATGTATAATGGTTAGTATCTCAATAAGAGACAAATACATGTGTATAGCTGGTATTCAATCCTCTGATGTCAGGTTCACTGAGGTTAATCATTTTTTAAAATGACATCATATTCATACCATCTGGAACCTTAATAAATATTGTACATTACAGTCAATGTTGCTCTCAAGTGGGGGCTCTAGCTGCAAAAGCTCTAGCAAAAATTCAGCCAATATTATTTTTTTAGATAAAACCATTAATGTATTTTTCTTATTTTGAAATTAATGTAAGTACATTAAAGACACTTTTGATATCATGTATTTGCAAAGTAAATTAAAATCTCCAGTAATCTCACCATCCAGAAATAATCAGTTAATATTTGAGGATATATATATGAAGACATTTCTCCAGAAAAGATATACAAATGACCAATAAGCATACTGATAATACAATAATGGAATATATACATTTAATCTTTTAAGATAAAAAGATTTAGGGGCACCCTGCGTGGCTTACTAGGTTGAGCATCCAACTCTTGGTTTTGGCTCAGGTCATGATCTCATGGGTCATGAGACCAAGCTCCAAACAGGGCTCCACACAACTCTGTGGGGAGTCTGCTTGGGGATTCTCTCCCTCTGCCCCTCCCCCACTTGCGCATGCATGCATGCATGCTCTCTAATAATCTTTTAAAAACAGATAAAAAGATCTGTATGCTGTGCATGTATGTGAATTTACACAGAACTGCATCATCCTTCAATATTGTTTTGCATTCTTTTTTCACTTAGCAATACAACATGAGTATCATATTCTTCTGTGATGTTGTATTTAATGTCACCTCACTCAAAGAGGTAGCATGATGAAAGCTGAATTCTCCTGGGTTAATTTGGTAGAAGGCAAAGAGCTGATACAGGAAGAATGATACACAGAAATAATGGGGTGCTAGAACAGAACAGAGAAGGGACAAATCAAAGATACATTTCAAAGGGAAAAGACAAACAGGAATTTGATAAAAGATAAAGGGACAAAAAGAAGAAAGAATCAGGGACAACGCCAAAGTTTTCAGCCTGGGAGATCTGAACTTTATCTTTAGTCTAGAATAATGACAATGACTACATAAACCAGATCTGTAAAATCTTGTATACTATGAACAGAGCGAATATGTATCATCTCATCAAATCCCAGGACCCTAGAATGTGGCCCTTGAAACTTGAAAGGACTAATTTTCATCCAATTTTCATGTCTCAGTGATACTTTTTTTTTTTTAAGTAATCTCTGCATCCAGCATGGGGCTCAAACTCACAACCTCAAGATCAAGAGTCGCATGCTCTACCAACTGAGCCAGGCAGGCGCCTCTCAGTGATATTTCTAAGGGGAAAACCAGGAGAACTTGAGACTCAAGGGCCCTAAAGACCCTTAAAATGGGAAACAAAGCAAATTGGAAAAGGAAATGAATATACCAAGTTTCTATCCCTGGGTCCAAGATTCTGAGTTAAGATAACCTCAGAAGATTCAGGATAAGTAAATTAGAATGTGTTTCTAATGCTCTAATTCAAGACTCCTCTGGGCAAAAAAATGGTATCAACTACCTTTTAAGAACTGTTACTTAATATCTTTGTGCACCCTGCATTGAACCTTGGCTCCAACCCAATGTAGGCAACTTACTTCTTATTTCTGTATCTCAATTTATTCATTCGTCAATTGGGGGTGATAATATTTCAGTCACAAAGATCTTGTGAGAAATAATGACCTAATATACCTAAAGGGCTTAGATGAATGGCTCATAGCTAAGGACTCATGAAAGTCAACTGTACACCTCTCTTCCCAACTTCAGTCCAGCAATAGCTTGAAATCAACCACAGGAGTATTTACACTATAGAAACCAGCAAACGCCACAAACACTACTATTCTTCCAAAGAACTGGCTGTTAACGTCTTATTTACCAGTACACCACTGACTTAAACCTGTCAATATGAACATATAACTATTAATAAGTCCAGATATGAAACATTCTTTGAGGCAATGGCAAGGATTCCTCAAAAAAAACAACAACAAAAAAAAACAACTCACAAAAAAGCAAAAAAGGTGGAGCGCCTGGGTGGCTCAGTTAGTTAAATGTCTGCCTTCGGCTCAATTCATGATCCCAGAGTCCTGGGATCAAGTCCCCTGTCAGGCTCCCTGCTCAATGTGAAGTCTGCTTCTCCCTCTGCACCTCCCCCTGCTCATGCTCCCTCTCTCTCTCTCAAATAAATAAAATCTTAAAAAAAAAAAAAAAAAAAGTGAGGGACTATTCTAGATTCAACTACAAAAGAAACATAACAAAATGTAACATGTGAAAGCTGAATAGAGCTTTCATTTAAAAATGAGGGGGCAGAATTAGAGAAACTCAATATTCCTTAAATTAATAGTTTTTCTTAGATGTGATAATGGTCTTAAGATTATATAGTAGAATGTCCTTAGTTTTAGATGTATGCTTAATTAAGTATTTAGGGGTGAAGTGTTATAATGTCTAAATCATACTTTCAAAAGGTTCAGGAAAAAAGTATATGAGAGAGATAAAACAAATGTGGCGAAATATTAACATTTGATAAATCTAGATGAAGAGTATATCGGTATTTATTTCAAATTTCCCAGATTTAAAATTCTTTAAAATAAAAAGGAAGAAAATATTCAGGATGTAAAAAAATAAGAAAAAAAATTAAATGGAGATAATAAAAACAAAGCAACTAAACCATTCTTTTCCAACTCTGAAAACTTTAGAGCCTTTTTATAAGAAAAGTAAAGGAAGTCCAAGGTGGCATTTCAAAAAGGGACTCTACCAAACATCCTTAGCAGCTAAATATTAGTACAGTAACAATAAAGTATATTTAGGTCTCTCGTTAAAGACTAAGATGAGCTTACATTTCAATGGATTAAAAATAAAATCAGAGAACACATGTACTCAACTATTTTATGGCAGGTCACAAGCAGTAATCTCTACTTTTCTTTTTGATGGAAAGATTTTCCGGTCTATTTCTCATAGCAAAAAGTCAGATTATATTTTTCATTGTAAACTCACTCTAGAAAATCAAGCCATTCAGCACTGCAGTCAAGGACTAGCTGCTCCCGGAGCTGATTCAGATGTCTGTAATTTTCTACAATAAAAGGAGAGTGAAAACGGCTCACAGCTTTTGTGCTAGAAGAGGGGAAGAAACATAAATAGGAAATCAAGGTTACTAAGAAATCACTAATGCCATCACTTCAGAAAATTAAAGTAGTTATTTATTGTTCTCTGATGAACCTTGAAAGTAAATAGCTGTAAACAGAGAACATTCTTTAATTATGGTGCTGAACTCTATTGATTCCAAAGATCTCTGTTGTAAATAAAGTACTTGGAGTTCACAGGACTTTGTTCACGAGCTCTAAAATGCATTTTAAATTATATCCATATGGCAAAGTCAAAGTTTAGAATTTCCATTTCATAAGCAGAAAGCTTTTTTCTTTAAATTACACTAAATGAAAATGCTTGCTTATTAAAAGATCAGAAGCAAGTAAGTCCTGACAAAGCTGGATACATGGATGAAAGTCCTATTATTCTTTATGTTTGATACTTTTCTGTATAATTAATGTATTTCAGTGAAAAAAGAAAAATATAAAGAATTACAAAGAATAGCAATGCATTAATTCAGGAGGCAATCAAAGAAGAGGAATGTTTCATGATCTAACTGTAGATTCACAGTGGCCCCAGATGGGAAGAAATATGACATGCTCCTCTTGTGGGCTTGTGTATCATCTGTTTCTTCATCGAGAAGCTGTAGAGCACAAAAGGGGATGCCATGGGTTCCCAGTTAAAAAATCTGGGCCAAGGCTTTATCTCTAACCACTGACTTGCTACCTATGTAACCTTAGGCAAATATAAGTGACCTTCTCTAAACATTCCTTTCCTCATCTATAAAATGGGAATAATGATAGTATCTACATCATAGGTACTGTTGAGAGGATAGGATAGTGATTAGCACAGTACCTATGTCCTATGTCATTAGTACCCAATGTTAGGAGTTGTTCTGTGGAGGTGGTGATTGCTACTGCTGTTGATGTTACTATTATGATTGGACCTATGAGAAGAGAAGATCAGGACTGAGTGATACACAGGTGATGACAGAGTGTAATTACTGTTCTTTGTTTGCTCCCCAACTCCTGTTACAATTAGGTTTAATTTGGCCAGTTATTGGACCAGGGGTGAGCCTTTCATATTCAAATTCTGACTAATATTCTAACCTATCCTGTCAAGGTCCCAGTAGTAAAACGACATATAAAAATAACAGTGAACCTCCCCAAAGCCATCTTATTTATTCATTCAATTTACATCATTGAATGTTCAAAAGATGCTGGCACTGATTTATGCCTTCCGTGTTGCTTCTGAAATGTCATGTAGATTTCTAGGCCAACATATTTATCATAGCTTTCTCTTGTGATAAAATTCATTTAGTGAAACATTTCAATTTCTTAGATAGATATACAATTTTCAATAATTTCTCTTCCTAAAACATATTTCAATTCATGAGCTGTAGGGTAGGACAAAAGTAGATAATGGAAAGAAAGCCCATGAAGAGAGAAAACAGCCCCTAAAATCAACAATACTCAAATCTCACCTACAGCTTCTAATAACACAGGAGAAAAAAAAAAAAAAAACAACAATGGTAACAGAGCTAAAGAAACCCATGACTGTGCCTTCAGAATCCTTTGATAATGGCAATGTATACTAGTTTTTTTCTTTTAATTAAATAATAATCATTCACAGATGTTAAAATTTTCTTTTATCCTTAACAGAGTTCCTTCATATAAACACCAGCTATTATACTAGTCCCTCTTCTGCTCACTTAGGCAAATGTAACATTTTCATCTCAAGTTCATGCAAGCGTATTAATAACAGAAGCAATAAATACTTCACAAAGAATATTACTCACAGGAGTATATACTTCGCTAATACCACTTCTTTATATGAGTCCCCTTTGGGGGATTAATGCCTAATCAAGGAGAAAAGGCAGTCTCAATGTGGTTCTCTAATTCTGTTTTTGATTAATTTGTTTTCATCAATTCATGAATAACTTACAAAAAAGAAGCCATAAAGAACTGTTACAATTATGTGCACTGGAAAGCATCAAGAATAAAGAAATGCAGAGCTCAGTGAGGAAGAAAATGAAATTTCAGCTTCCTAAAAGAAATTTCAGGTATACCACTCATCAGGAATTTCAAGCAATCAAATTAATCTTATTACTGAAGATAACCCAATATTTTTTTTCACGTGTTTAGAGTATACTCTGAGGTTTAAGAATAAAATGGTAATTTACAAAACAGGAAAACAAATGTATACAAATAAGATACTCTTCGGAAAAAATATTTTTAAATCAATGATAAAGAATTTAAAATAATTATTTCTTTGGTTAAAAGTTCCACAAGAAAACCAAAGGGAAAGAATTACTTTTTATGTCAAGGATGTGGTTATCTTCATTCCAGTAGTATACAGGTATACACATGTCATAATTCACATTAATAAGAAAAGATGTAATTTTAAACCCACCTTCCAACCTTAACCCAATCAGTTGGTATACAAGATACAGCAGAATTCTTTACTTCAATCATAAACTAAAAGAAATACAAATAAAAATTAGATATTTAAATGATTAACCATTAAAGCTTCCTCAAAATTGTGCTATAAATTTAGTAAATACTATTCTAAACATTCAAAATAAATCCAGTATTGTTAATAGGAAAGTTCAAATATGTCCATACAACCGAATATCCTTAATTAGGGTTGCGATACTTGGGATAAAGTACAATACGTATTGATCGAAAGTTTGTAATAAGCATATAACTCGGCACTTTAATGTTTATAACATTGTCATGTGCACTACGTGTGGTGATTTTTCTTTTTTTAATGGCCTCTTTCATTTATTAGTACCCAATTAAGAATTCTATTATACTCAGTAATAAGACTGAAGTTCTTACAAAGTACATACAATTTTAAAATATCAATTACGATGTGCTATACCAGTTTCAGACATGGTCCATCCCCTATTCTGAACAGAAGAGGATTTATTGTCATAGTTTTTATCCAAAGAGCCCAAGTGCTCTAAGAATATCCTCATGAAAAAGCACTGATTTCTTCAGCTATTAAGGGAAGAAGAGATTTCTTCCCATGAGTGTTTTAAGTTTTCACACATATGAACCATATCTTTATAGAGCTGTGTTCTGCAAGCAAGCTTTTCTGAAATCAATCAGGAAGCAAGTGAAATAAACTTCTATCATGCCTTTCCTTTTCAGCATTACTTGTGTATCATCTCTTCCTCCTGCTCACTCTCCTGTATTTCTGTAATAAAATTCAGTGTTTTATTTAAATGAATACACACAAACACCTATTTTATACAGGAGGAAACCCAGAAGCTCTGTGGCTACCACTAATTTTGAGATGGCACAGGAACTTTTTTACATATACCAGTTTTATAACATTTCTGGCATTTATAATATGTATATTATTAATAATATTGGCCTATCTTTGAGTTTATTTTTCTATATAGTTTTTACGTTAATTATAATACAGATATTATTTGTTAATTTTAAGAATTTTGTGACTAAGGATGTCTTCCTAGACAGACAGAAATTAATGCAATTTCAAATTTGCTACACCCAGTTAAATAGTGAAGAGTCGAAAGTCTAAAAAAGTTCCCTTTGGCTACAAAGAGTAACTGAGGAAAAAACCCCACAAAATAAATATCATTGACGAGAAAGAAAAGCACATTAAGACCATGCTAAAAATTTCTGCTTAAATATTATTCATAAATGTCCTACAAGTAAAGCATATTGATCTTTTTATAAAATAATTCTGAGAAGAGCTATGCCTGCAGCAAACAGCAAAATTCAGGGCCGCAGCGGCTCACTAATACTTGGAAAGGACACATACATCTAGATCCATAAAAACACAGAGCTCCACAAAAGTTACTGTGTAAGGGAAGGTGGAAATTTTGAAAAAGCAGCTAAAACTGCCTCAGTGAGATCAGTGGGCAGCCAGATAGGCTGGCTTACTTAAGTAATTTGCCATAACACTGCAGCACGGGGCACTGGATTCAAATTTGTACCTTATACACATCACAGATTGATTCTAAGCATGGCCCTTTAGAGCAGGCTGCGAACAATTCGGACCATAATGGTTCAATCTATAAGTATCAAGGGTCTACCCTAAGGACCACAGTTCCTCAAACAAGCCATATGCAGAGCCAATACTCGATGGAAAAGAGGGTGAGAGTTGGGAAGGCCCACATGGACCTCCTGCTTGTTACACCCCTGGGGTTGCTTCTTCAAGTTGGTGCTGGTCCTGTGTGTCCTCTTCTCAGCTGGGGTTTCTCTTGAGAATTGTCATCTACCAGCAGGTTTTTTTTCTCTTCTACACTGCCTAACGAATAGGAAATTTTCTCTCTGCTTCTTTTCACAAACATTCTAAGAATGAGCAGACAAGGCCTTTAAAAAATTTTATTGCTACAGAAAAGGTAACTAAAACTGGAAATTAACATATATTTCAGAAATCTTAGAAAATTCTCACAAGCACCTTTCCCTACTCTATAGTTCCTGACTTTGTTTCTTAGGTGTTGATGCAAGAAGTATGCCTTGATTTGTTCTAGTAATTTCTCACATACTCCTGGGATCCAATTCTGTCCTGGTTAAACGTCAGATATTGTTACTCAAACTACAGGCTGTCGTATCACTGGGCTTGCATCATTGCTAAGTTTGCTAAATTCACTCCAGAAACTGCTCTCTGTTTTCTCCAATACCACACTTAACCCATTCCTACTCTCCCTCTTTTCTTTCTTCTCTCTCAAGAATTCTCAAGTATTTTTTCTTTAGAAGTAAGACGTCACAGAGAATGCTTTTTCACATCTTAAACACCTTAGCAGAATTCAGATATGCTGCATGCTGTGAATTAATAAAAATTTTTTCTAAAGATTTTCCCCCAATATTTCTTCCCTTTTCCTTAAGAATACTACTACTTACCAATACTGCCCTAAATCTAAATATCACCCCATATCCACTCCATATTTGATTCAAGGTTAAAAGATGATTATATACACAAAATGTGAGAAAAACTATCACAGAAGCAGTGGGCTAAGTTTCTGCTTTCATTATTTTCTTACAAATACTTTCCGAGTCAGAGATAATATAGTCCATAAGGCTTATAGTATTCTAATGAGTACATAAAAACTGAGAACAGAGGTGAAAAAGGAAAGTTGTCAAAAGTATCACTGGCTTGACAATCTACTTATTTTTCCCAATAACAAAATCCATGTACTACATGGGGCTGCTAAAAACAGGTTTTTAAAAAATTATTACAAAGTTATAAAATTTCAGAACAGAAGGGTATAAAATAAGAAGCACATACAAAGTAAGGGTTTTCCTGCCTTCCTCTCTCATTTCTCAGAGGTAATCATATTTGATGGAGTCTGTTCTTGGTCCTGTATCTTTAAATAATTTGCTGATACCATTAGTATAATTTTTTAAAAGAGAATTTGACTATAACAATGCTGAATATCTAGAATTCATTTGTTTGAATAGAATCACTAGTTCTCAAAAAAATGTAAAAGTGATTCTGAATCGATATACTATTCAATTTCTATAGGTTTTTAAAAACCAGTAAGAATTCATCCCACAGTTAATAACTAAGAAATTTCTTGCCTCAAACTCATCACCTTAACCTAATAAAGGTTAAATAAAGAATAAGATAATTTACCTCCCTAATTAGTTGTAACCCAATTATTTCATCTCCATACTGTGCTTTTTCTTAAACTTCACTGCCACACTGATTTAAAAAAGAAAAAAAAAAAATCTAATCTACTATCCCTTATGAATTCCTGATCAGTTTTCCCCATTTTTACTGTAAAACTACCAGCTGGATCCAGGACTGTCTTCCCAAGACTTAAGCTTTATTTCAGTTTGCATAGTATGAGCTCTAAAAATGTCTGGGTTTCATAAAATAAAACCCAAGATGTTGATAATCCTTGTGTTAATTGTAAGTAGAGTGAAATAAGGAACTGGTAGAAAGACTGGAGTCAGGCAGGACTGGGCTTCTGATTTAGGTAACTTACCTAACTATTCCAACCCTCAGTCTTCTTCACTACAAAATGGGAATAACCCCTTAACATTTGTGTTGTTACAAATGTTAAATAATATACATACAGCGCTTAGCACCATTCTGATCAAGTGCTTGACAAATGGTAACTATATTAGTAGTAGTAGTATATGAATAACATTTACATAGGGCTTAATGTATGATTAAAAAGCACTTTCATGTATTTTAACTCAACTGGTCTTTGGAGTAGTCTCACGACATAGGTGATTCTGCCTTGGTCACATAGCATGAAGGGGGAAGTGGCACTTCACACCCAGCTTTTTCCTATTGTCATACCAGGTAACTGCCTTTCTACTACATATCTTTTATTAATGTTAAGCAGTTTTGATCATCTCATTTTCAACAAATAGCCCGGAATACTGGCACTAAGGTCACTTGTTTGCTTTGCAAGGTCCTGACTGCATAGTGAAACCAACTGATGCAATTAAATATTTGGCTGGAGGGTGGGGGGGGCCACTAAGTATAAATATTGTCACATTATTCTTCTGTTATATAGACTTCTAGGTGGAATACACTGCGAAACATCTGCCTGAGGCCAAAAGATTTAATTTGAGTCCAAAAGATAGACTGACTTAATCAATGGTCTATTACATGGCACAAGATTAATAAATATTTTAATAGGGGCCCCTGGGTGGCTCAGTTGTTAAGCGTCTGCCTTCGGCTCAGGTCATGGTCCCAGGGTCCTGGGATCAAGCCCCACATCGGGCTCCCTGCTCAGCGGGAAGCCTGCTTCTCCCTCTCCCACTCCCCCTGCTTGTGCTCCTTCTCTAGCTGTGTCTCTCTCTCTCTCTCTGTCAAATAAATAAATAAATAAATTTTTAAAATAAATAAATAAATAAATATTTTAATAAAGATTATAACCTGTAGGGTTTCTTATTTCAAATAATTATAGAAATCAGCAGTCTTTTGACTAAATAAAGTAATGCAAATGTTTAAAAATTTTATTTGAAATTAAGCTCTTCCCCACTAGAAAAATATCTGCTTTTTAAAATCCTGAATAAAATGTTCATCCATCCTATGAAAATTATTCACAAATTTCCTAATTTGCTATTTTAACGAAGAAGAATTCCTCAAATTCCCTCAGTTAGGCTCTCTATATTTTTTTTTTCAGATTTTATTTATTTATTTGAGAGAGCGAGAATGAGAGAGAGAGAAAGAGCACATGAGAGGGGGGAGGGTCAGAGGGAGAAGCAGACTCCCCGCTGAGCAGGGAGCCCAATGTGGGACGGACTCCAGGATCATGACCTGAGCCGAAGGCAGTCGCTTAACCAACTGAGCCACCCAGGCGCCCAGGCTCTCTATATTTTATTAAACATAAGATATAGAAGTAGCATGCCTCAAGACTCAGAATAAGACCAAAGGATACAACCACATTTAAAAAGCATACTCCTTCCTGATTCTCACCCAGATATTAATAATATCAAACTTTAAACTGAAGTATGCATACCAAAAAACACATTCTGAACAGCACTTACATCAGCTCATGGAATACTCACTAATTGTAGGTTTTCGCTACAGTTTTGTTTTTTGGGGTTTTTTTTCTTGCTATTTGTTCTCTAGCAGCTATACTACTAACTTCAGAAGGAAACCCTGCCTTTTAATCACTGTGTGATCCAACCAACACAGGTGGTTCACTTCTATCATTTCATTATCTGCTGGCCACAGATCAAAGACTAACTTTTCTCTCCTGGATTTAGGGTAAATGAATCCTATAAGTTATTATTAACAAGACTCACATTTTCTATAATACAATTTCAACAAATAATATTAAAACACATGTAACATTAAGTTGCATGATTTTACCAAGAGAGTAAATAAACACACAAAAAACTGTTCCTAAAATAATTCTTACCAACACAAAGTATTACATCATATTTCCAAGGAACAAAAGAGAAAATCTGAAAACAAACATTCATCCTATCCTTGGATTTTTGTTTACATTTTAAAATAGCTTTTCTACTTGAGATAAACAAATGCAAAATAAAAGTATGTTGACATTACCTCCTGTCCTGACACTGTTACATATTGTACAGAAGGATTTTTTAGTATTTTTCGTATTTCTTGTAAATGTATTTGGATCTTGTCAGTAGCTTCTTGAATTTCATCCTTCCTCTTTTTTATTAAAGGGAAGCCAGTAAGGTCTTTGAATAATTCAGTTTTATTCCCAGTTCTAAAAAATGAAAAAAAAAATGCAAATACATATATTGAAGCATACTACCTATACCAGTTATCAATTATTTTTCACAGCATGATAAAATACCAAAGGGTTGGGAATCAGGAAAGCAAGGTTCTAATCCCAGCTCTGTCACTAAGTATTTATGGGTTGGTTTCTTAATTTCTTTGAATATAGACAAAATTATCCCAACATCCTTTTCATTTTGCAAGTTCATGATTCCCATGGTGAAAATGAGAGATAAAATTAAATATGTGTTGTTCACCTATGCAGAAAATAAACACAAATGTAAATACTATCTTTCTTCCCCTTTTATACAGAGTTCTTCGTGGGATGAACTGTAAAATGACTACCTTGTAAAGGAAAACTTTGCTTCTGTGGTTTCTAAACATAATGCAGACTACTGCTGAGAATCTAGGAAATAAGTGTAAGATGCCATCTGACTCCCATGTTTGAATTAATAAACTGCTACTACTTGTTCTGCCTGGACTTTATCTTTTCATCATCTGGTACCTGGAGAAGTACTGTCATCTGTCCTTGATAATGAACTGCCTAAATTTTAGATGGCAGAGGGTTACTTTAAGCTATTATAGACAGCCTTTAGCATCCCATCCTATTTCTAATTTCAAATGCAACGTCTACCAGTACCGTGAGGGAAGCTTATGAATCCATACAACAAATGGCAAATCTATTAGTTCTTCCTTTCCAGCAGTGACAGTAATCTAAGAGTCTACTACTTACTTGGCAGCTTGTTCATTAAGTATCCTTAAGTAAGGTTCCACTGGACTGAGGAGTTCAGGAATTTCTAAAATAAATGTCTGGAGCAAGTCTGACCGAATGTGGGAATTAACAGCAGGTATTAATGCTTGAAATTCTGACTTCAGGTGATACAGGGTTTTGACAATCAAGAAGAACTCTTGCGTAGAACACTGAAAAAAGAAATCTTTTTTAGCTAAATAACATAAGATATATGAACATGAAGTTTAATTAGTGGTCTTTTCTTTTTTAGTTAATGGTCTTTTTCAAGTTAGAATCAGAATTCAAGAAAATTTTAATTTACTCTATATACTAGTTAATTGAAATAAAGTATTGTTGATAACTTCTAAATGTTAAATCAATAGTTCAAACACTTTGTAACATTTTAAAACTCTAAAGAAAATAATTTGGGCCAGGGACAGTAAAGCCAATACTTGTTCAATAATTTTTCATTTTAAAATATATTTACCATATAGCAAAAATGCAGTAACCAATGTCAAAAATATAAAGGACAATTCTGGGGAAATATCTGCAAGACATGTGAGAAATAAATGGCAAAATTCTTCCCAGTTTAATGAGCTCTTCTTACAAATCGACCTGGTAAAGATGAATAATCCACAGAATAATGGCTAAGTGAACTGAATATGCAGCTCATAAAAAAAAAGGATGTCCAATAAGCACAATTAACCTCACACATAATTAGAACAAGCAAATTAAAATGACAAGATAGCATTTGTCACTTATCAGAATGCCAAAGATTTTAAAACCTGATAATAGCTAAGTCACACAGGGTATTAAAAAAGACACTTTTATATACAATTAGTAGAGGCATAACCTCTTTGAAGAGTAAAGTGCATATACCCTTTGACTAAATAATTCCACTCTTAAAAGTTAAACGAAAACTATACTTAACAAGTAGTGAAAAAGTATGTGTATCTGAATATTTATAGTAGCACTATTGGTAATAATTGGTAATAATATTAAAAAGATGAATAGGAAACAAGTATCTAACAATTGGGATCTTATCAGGAAAAGCTCACGCAATGTAACAGTATTAAACAGTTAAAAAAAATTAAGACATCTGTACATATTGATGTACAGATCAACATGGAACTCCATAATTTTGACAAATATTAAATATACATAGTATGTTTATACTATGTACCATATGTGTATTTATACAGTAAAATTTCATTTTTGATTCTTCATACTATATGCATTATTCTTTATAGATAAAATATAAATAAAAAATATCTGGTAGGGTACACATGTTAACTTACTCTAGTTACCTCTGGGTGGTGTGTATTCAGGGAAAAGTAGAGGAAAATGTTTTATTCCTTATTTCATACCTTTATAAATACTGTTGCAATTTTTAAACACGAACATGAATAATTTTTACTTTTGGAACTTCTGATAAAGAGAATAAGCTGAACATGTACATCTAATTTCACACTATCTTAAAACTACAGTCCAAGATTGTTTAAAAAGGCATAAAACCTCAAGAATAACTAGAAGACAGCAGTAACAACATCTTAGAAACTATAAAGTAAATAGATAAGTAGTAACTGACTTAGAAGATTCAAAATATTAGCATTTCAAGCTGACTGTGAGGAAAACTAGAACGCAACTTGAGTTACACCAAGAATCCTAAAAGACTCAGAAATTGGTGGCACAAATTATCTTTGGAAGTGGAAGCTGGGAGTGGGTGGGTGGGCAGACCATGACTGGTTGCAAATGAATTAAGAAGCAATTATCCCTCAATATTTTATTCCTCTCCATGCCACTGAGCAATCACTATTTTCCTAACCAACAGAAGACTAATTTTATTCTTCTGGAGAAGGTAAAACATAGCGTACCTGAACCATCTTCAGGCACAGTGAAAGATGAGAATACCACCAAAAGCAAGGGATTAAAATAAGAGAAAACAGAGATTCCCAGTTGCCTCCACCTAGCTCCCAGAACATTGTTAGCCATTCAGGAGGCTAAAAGAGTCCCTAGGGAATGGCACAGGCCCAAGAGAAAAATTCTGAAGATACTAAAGCAGGAGTTCACTCCAAAAATGGATCAGCTAGTACACTGTACAGTTTACCTCATATTTTGCAAGCCATATTCATCTAAAGAGATCTTCTCAGCATTTTATCCACTGATAAAACTCTTATCCACTCTTTAAAAATGATCAGGCATCAGATAAAAAATTCTAACATGAAATGAAAAAACCAAAACAATCAATCAATCAATCAACAAATACTAGAGGGAATACAGTCTATATACGTGGAAGAGAATGTCTTTAAAAAAACCAGTATTACTGTTGGTGGGAATGCAAGCTGGTGCAGCCACTCTGGAAAACAGTATGGAGGTTGCTCAAGAAGTTGCAAATAGAGCTACCTTATGATCCAGCAATTGTACTACTGGGTATTTACCCCAAAGATACAAATGCAGTAATCCAACAGGGCACCTGCACCCCAACATTTATAGCAGCAATGTCCACAATAGCCATACTATGGAAAGAGCCCAGATACCCATCGAAACATGGATAAAGATGTGGTACACATATACAATGGAATACTACGCAGTCATCAAAAAAATGAAATCTTGCCATTTGCAATGATGTGGATGGAACTAGAGAGTATTATGCTAAGCGAAATAAGTCAATCACAGAAAGACAATTATACAATCTCACTCATATGTGGAATTTAAGAAACAAAACAGGATCATAGGGGAAGGGAAGGAAAAATAAAACGACAAAATCAAAGAGGGAGACAAACCATAAGAGATTCTTAATCATAGGAAACAAACTGAGGGTTGCTGGAGGGGAGGAGGGTGGAGAGATGGAATAACTGGATGATGGACATTAAGGAGAGCACGTGATGTAAGGAACACTGAGTATTTAGTAAGACTGATGAATCACTGAACTCTATCTCTGAAACTAATAATAATACATTATATGTTAATTGAATTTAAATAAAAACGTATTAAAAATAAACTTAAAAACAATATCCTCAGTTAACCAGAGAATAATGCAATCATGAAACAAGAACAGAATACTTTTTTTTTAAATAGAAACATTCAGAGAACAGGATTCAATCAATTCAAAAAAAAAAAAAAAAACTTCAAAAAAGAAAGAACCTAAATATAACTCAGGAAAATTTCCCAGAACTTGGTTGCCAAATTTAAAGGCTCAATACAATGGATGAAAACAGAACCAAATCATGGCAAATCATCATGAAATCTGAGAATATCGGGGATGAAAAGAAAATGTTTCAATTTCTAGAAAGAGATAAAAAACGTCACACCAAGAATCAGGAACCAGACTATCCAACAAAAATAATAGAAGCTAGAAGACAATGGAGTAACACAAAATTCTAAAGGAAAATAATTTATAGCCTAGAGCTTTATACCCAGTCAAACTACCAATCAAATGTGAGTAGAAAACAAGACATTTCCAGGGGCACCTGGGTGGCTCAGTCGGTTAAGCATCTGCCTTTGGCTCAGGTCATGATCCCAGGATCCTGGGATCAAGCCCTGTGTTGGGTTCCCTGTTCAATGGAGAGCCTGCTACTCTCTCTCCTTCTGCCCCTCCCCCCTGCTCGTGCACTCTCTCTCTCTCAAATAAAATCTTTAAAAAAAAAAAAAAGAAAAGAAAACAAGACATTTCCAGACATTTCAAAACATTACTGTTGACCCTTGAACAACACAGGTTTGAATTGTGCAGGTCCGCTTCTACACAGATTTTTTTGGATAAATACTACAGTACTGCAAATGTATTTTCTCTTTCTCAAAAGAAATTGTCTTAATATTATGATTTTCTTCACATCTTTTCTCTAGCTTACTTTATTGTAAGAAGACAGTATATAATAAAATATAACATACAAAACATGTTAATTGACTATCATCAAACTTCAGGTCAACAGCAGGCTATTAGTAGTTAAGTTCTGGGGCAGTCAAAAGTTATACATAGATTTTCAACTCTTCAGGGGCCAATGCCCTTAACTCCTGCACGGTTCAAAGGAGTTGAGGTCAACTGTACTTCCAATACCCTGTCTCAGGATGCTTCTAGAAAATGCACTCTATCAGAATGAAGTAATAAACCAAAAGGAAGACACAGAATTTTGAACAAAAGATTCAATTCAAGGGAAATAAATCAAAGAAGATGGCTATACAACCAGTAGAGAGGGCAATCAGTCTAAGTGGGACCAGGTAAAATGAAATAGAATATTTGATGAAAATAAGTATCTTGAGATGAGAAGATGATTTCGGGTTGAGTAAAAATGGTAAGGACACATAATAAATAGTATACATAAAATGAATTAATGCTAAGAACCTATTTAGAAAGAAAAAATTATTAACTAAAAGGAAAGAAGTAAATTATGCAAAAAAAAAAGAAGTTAGGCCCAACTGAATAAAAGCTGAATCTAAAGTGTATCATAAAGTATCTCTTCACCAGAGAGGCCACTGTATGATGGGAAAGATAAATATAGAGGCTGGATTTTTGTAATGTGGAGCCTAGAAGGTTTTTGGCCAACAGTCAATAGTTAATTATTAAATAGATACATTCTAACAAAAGTGAAAACTAAAAGTAAACATTTCAATACAATTTTTGAATAATAATCTCTTATAATTATTGTAATTTGAGGATGATTTTTCATCTTCAGATATAAAATTTAAGTCAGCAACAGCAGCAAAGTGAAAATGAAGTGCTTTGCAATCAAGTTTTAAGTGCCCAAGGCACGTTGTTTTCAAGTTTCTTAAGCAAAATAACTCAATAGAGCTGCCAGAAAGCTGAAGAGAAGGGTGAAGTAGTAGCTCCTGGAGTCACTCATGTTCAATCCCATCTCCAGCAGCAAATTTCTCTGTGGAAGAGCATTAGAACACATCCATAAGTGTGGAAAAGGGTCATCATGGGACTGGAAGAACTCCAGCCTAAGTTCCATACGGAGAACGTGGCTTTAGGCTTATACCAGTCTGGCCAAGAAATTATTCTCGCCTACAAAATTCTGGAAACACTCTCCTCTAACATTTACTAAGTGCTATAATCCTTTAAATGTATTCACCAATCTTAGCAGTTATGTATCATTTTCTTACAAAATAGTTCTTGAGCAAAGTTAGTATGAGTTTCTAAGACTAACACTGTTCTCTAAGATTTGAATTTGAAGTTTTACTATAAGATACTAAT